GCTGTTCTCATCCAGAAAGGTCAGATACTACTGTCAAAGTCGTTTTATTACATTTTATAGTTCTTTAGTTAGTTGCAAAACCATAGTGAAAACAAAACGGGAATGCCAAAAAACGACCAGCCCCTACGATCTGATGAGGCGCAATTGGCAAAACAGGAGTGAAAACCATATGGATGGACCCCGATAAAATCAACCATGACGCAAGTGTGCGCGAAAAGGGGCCAGCACGCTCACCTACACAAGCAAGCCCGTACCTATTGTCAGACACCACAACAAGGAAGGGTCGTAAAGCAACATGGACTAGACTGAATCATGGCTAGTTGTAGGAGCTAAATGCATACCTCAAATTATACCCCAAACTTGTTGCTCTGTTGACAAATATTTGTTATTCAATTATGATATTCAAATTATTCAATTTGAATGTTCAGTTATTCAATGCTAGCTCAAACACGATATAGTGTGTTCAAATCTAACCCAATTAATCCCATCTTAGATTTCCTTTCCATTTGTGTATTTATCAAGAGTTTATTTATTGGATCAATAAACTGTTTAGATTCTATGTAAATCGATCTGGTCGGTTTTCAATTGGGAAATCAATTAATCATTAGTTATATGGTTATTGAGCATGTTGGTGATCTCTAGCTTGAGTTCTGGCTATTTTGTCATTGCCAGTACGATGACCACTTATGATGCCACCCCGTGGGGATTCCTGGTAAAGAATAGGTCCCCAGCAACCTATGCTTGTCTACCCGTGGGGATTCCTGGTATAGAATAGGTCCCCATCAACCTATGCTTGTCTCCCCGTGGGTATTCTAGGTTAGAACAGGTCCCAAGCAACCTATGCTGGTCTCCCCATGGGGATTCCGGGTTAGAATAGGTCCCCAGCAACCTACGCTTGTCTCTCCGTGTGGATTCCGGGTTAGAATGGGTCCCCAGCAACCTACGCTTGTCTCTGCGTGTGGACTCCGGGTTAGAATGGGTCCCCAGCAACCTACGCTTGTCTCTGCGTGTGGATTCCGGGTTAGAATGGGTCCCCAGCAACCTACGCTTGTCTCTGCGTGTGGATTCCGGGTTAGAATAGGTCCCCAGCAACCTACGCTTGTCTCTCCGTGTGGATTCCGGGTTAGAATGGGTCCCCAGCAACCTACGCTTGTCTCTGCGTGTGGATTCCGGGTTAGAATAGGTCCCCAGCAACCTACGCTTGTCTCTGCGTGGGGATTCCGGTTAAGAACAGGTCCCCAGCAACCAAAGCTTGACTTCCCGTGGGGATTCCGGTTAAAAACAGGTCCCCAGCAAGCTAAGCTTGTCTTCCCGTGGGGATTCCGGTTTAGAATAGGTCCCCAGCAGCCTATGCTGGTCGTACGAGGCGACTGATCGGGTGGTCAATCCCTATGACTCGGTTTATGACGTGCCATCGAACCCTTTATACTCATGATGATAAGAACATAAAAATGTATTACATACTTTCAATGTTAGTTTTCTTAAGTTGAGAAAAGTTATGTTTTCTTTGCATTGAACTCAACACTTGATATTTCACTGCAGTGAACATAACACTTTGACGGAACTATTGTCATAGAAGAGTTACCTCCCCTCCAATTGTCTCCCTTTATCGTAAGTGTCTAGCCCGTACACTAACTGTTGACGTCCTTTTGCCATTAGTTCCATGTGACAAGGCACAATAATGACAGATGGTCATTTCTGGAGTTGATATCGCGTCTTACAGTTTGTTATTCTCTGAAAAATGTTTCGTAATAAACTGTAAATTTCCCATTTAACCAGTCAATCAAGACTAGACAATTCCTTTGCTTCCAACAGCGGTTTCGTAGCTGTCAAGAATATTTTTTAAAGATGATTTTGTATATAATCATATCCAAATGTATGATTACGAATTTTCGCGACCCTGAATATTTTTTGAGACATTTGTTTATATTTTTTTAGATTTTGCAGACTCGGAACTACTTTTTAGGTCGCAATTACAATTGGTGGTGAAACGTCCCTGTGTGTTAGGTACGGAGAATTTACGTTTCAAGGTTTTACATTTGTAATGAAAAAAAGTAAATTCTCCGGTAGAAAACTACACCAAAAAAGTACATAATAAATAGGATATTCCATGTATATCGTCAAATATCATGTTTTTATCATCTCGTGACGGCGGAAAGGACATTTTTTCACTCGCGGCTACGTCACTCTTGAAAATATCTCCTTTCCCCTGTCAGTCGATGAATGAAACATGATATTTCCCCCGACGTATGAAATATCCTGTACATATTAATTTGCTTATCCAGGATGTTGCTCCCATGGATGGCGGTCACGTTCCTCCGTATCGCAACCAGAAGCAACGATAGCCTTTGTGATGGATTATGACTCCAGTGAGCACACGGATGTCTGGACCGAGGAGTCTGTGTGCTGTTGTAGGTCCTGTTTGCCATCAGTATTGTTGCTGTACTGGTTATCCGCCTATTTATTGCCCCGCAAGGATTCTCCGCTAGAACCGGAGCTGATCGTAAGAGACGACCAAATGAATCGGATGGTCTGGCTCGGTGACCAGGTAACCCGACGTCGGGATCGTTGTTCACAAAATGAATCACAGGATTGTCTAGTCCAGACTAGATTATTTACAACCCGCCGTCATATAGCTGGAACATGGCGTTATTAAGAAATAAACAAACATGTTGCAATAAATACACAAAATCACTTATAATGTATGTTATTTACCAAGATCATCAAGCATTTGGGATTATATGATACATAACCGATGTCAGTGTATGTCATAAGTTACTGGTATATACATACATCAAAAATGGTATATACATACAATGTCGGGCACTACTTCCATACAACAAAATCCCATGTCGTATAAATCCTATCCTGAATTATTCTGCTGACGAAGCACATTTGCTTTGCTTTTCAAAGTGACATGTTCATATTGAGTTACAAATACCAATATCGAATATCTAATGACATGGTGTGTACCTGTTGCTTGGCATCAGGTATTTTCATCTCATGATGATTTAAAATATGTTAGAAACTCTATGCACTTGCACTATTCTCAGCATTCATCTGGTGAATGAATGATAATTATACAAATATAACAATATAATGGCAAAGCCAATGAGATTGGATAATGTACAAAGATACCAATATAACGACAAAGCCAGTGAAATAGGATTAATATACAAAGATAACAATATAACGACAAAGCCAGTGAGACAGGATTAATATACAAAGATAACAATATAACGACAAAGCCAGTGAGACAGGATTAATATACAAAGATAACAATATAACGACAAAGCCAATGAGATAGGATTAATATACAAAGATAACAATATAACGACAAAGCCAGTGAGACAGGATTAATATACAAAGATAACAATATAACGACAAAGCCAGTGAGACAGGATTAATATACAAAGATAACAATATAACGACAAAGCCAATGAGATAGGATTAATATACAAAGATAACAATATAACGACAAAGCCAATGAGATAGGATTAATATACAAAGATAACAATATAACGGCAAAGCCAGTGAGACAGGATTAATATACAAAGATAACAATATAACGACAAAGCCAGTGAGATAGGATTAATATACAAAGATAACAATATAACGACAAAGCCAATGAGATAGGATTAATATACAAAGATAACAATATAACGACAAAGCCAATGAGATAGGATTAATATACAAAGATAACAATATAACGGCAAAGCCAGTGAGACAGGATTAATATACAAAGATAACAATATAACGGCAAAGCCAGTGAGACAGGATTAATATACAAAGATAACAATATAACGACAAAGCCAGTGAGACAGGATTAATATACAAAGATAACAATATAACGACAAAGTCAGTGAGATAGGATTAATATACAAAGATAACAATATAATGACGGAGCCAATACCTAGGTATTTGGGATATATGAGAGTAAAAAAACGTTTTTTGTGTAACTTAAAATCACGAAACCTACTACAGCCAAATCAGGTAGATATATGTAATTGAAACCCGCAAAACCCTGGTTGATGCATGTAATTGAAACACATGGTATTAAATCTGGCACAGGCAAAGCACAGCTGGTGCATGTAAGTGAAACCCATGATAGGCCAACCGCAGACACTTATATGGAAGTGAAACCCTTGTGGTCAAGTTCGGTACTTGCAAACTGAGGCAGGTCAGACAGTCCGTCAGTCCGTCCATCAGCCAGTCAGTCAGTCAGTTTGGTGTTTAACGTCCACTGCTGAGCTAGTCAGTTTCGTGGACGGTGCGAGACGTGTGTATGTGAAACCCCTGAGGTCACGTCAGGTACAGATAAACCGAAGTTAACTTGTGAAATCCATGAAATCAAGTCTGGTGCATGCAAACCCGACTCGCGTGAAGATCCGGGGTAAAACATGTCTTCGGCAACCCATGCTTGCTGTAACAGGCGGCTATGCTTGTCGTAAGAGGCAACTAATTGGATCGGGTGATCAGTCTCGCTGACTTGGTTGATGCATGTCACCGTATTTCAATTGCATAGATCGATGCTCATGATGTCTGGTCCATTATTTACAGACCGTCGTCATACAACTGGAATATTGCGAAGCGCGGCGTTAAACACGTTATACAACCAAACAAGCAATCTCATGCTGCTACACTGACAACTATGATTACGTCCTTGAAAACAGCTACAAACCAAACAACTTACCGACTGTTAAACCAACAACCTCCGGGGTAGCTAGAAAGAAAATAATGGCTCATGACCTCGGTTTAAATTCGGCACAAATCATAAAAAGACTTGATTTTTGTTTCATGAGTTGTTTACAAAATCGCCTTTCTTTTCAAAATTGGTGACGCGTGGATATAAGCCGACGGACATAGAGCGCGTCTTGACTGTCTGTACTCACTATATGCTGACCTCAGTCCTCTAAACTATCTTTGAAACCAGGACAAGTGTCTTGTAGTTAGATGTCGACTTGACAACGCTGGTATGACCTTGGTGCATATTGCCATGCATACTTCTAATGTGACGCCGATAAGACAGCGTAGCTACACATAACCCCAACTACAGTTTACTGTTGTACTGACCACAGCATCAACAGATACACAACGTATTTCCTGTCTTTGTGGTACAGTTTGACAAAGGTATTGTGCTTTCTGTTTTTTTCGGTTTACGTCCTTAAATATTTAAATATTGAATTACAAAGATTCCTGAGGCTGTATGTGATACATCAACATAATGATACAAGTTACTTATGTAGATGTGCTGACAATGGAAGGCCTGGCTGTTTGTGTGTCATCGTATCCCGACGACGTGACCGTTGCTCATGCTATCAACCACTAAAGTACTCGTGAAGATGCAGTTAGCGAAATGTGATGCCGAGGGCAGTGTTGTGGTTACAGCGTTTGCTCGTTCTCAAACATAACTCACTCACTCACTCTTACAGCGATACTCCTTCAATACGGCACTCCTAGATAGGTCCTAGGACACGGTGGCCCTATTGTCTAAGGGCGCCGCAATTCCCTGTGCAGAGTAGCGTCCCTTAGGCACGCCAGAAGCCTATGATCGTGGGTTTGTTTGATTGTTTGTTGTTTAACAACGCACACAGCGGTATTCCAGCACAATGACGGCGGTTGGTAAATAATCGAGTCTGGACCAGACAATCCAGTGATTGACATTATGAGCATCGGTCTATGCAACTGGGATATGATGACATGCACCGACCAGGTCAGTGAGCCTTGCCACCCGATCCCGTTAGTCGCTACGAGTTTGCCCCTGTTATGTTTCTAGGTTTGTCAGCACCATACCCGTGCTCGTGGGTTTCACCAAAGTGGCAAACGTATGAGACCTGCATCACTTCGGGCTTTCCTCCCACATTAAGCTGACACGCCGTGATATAACTGTAATACTGTTAAAAGTGGCGTTAAAACTGGTGGTTGATCAAGCTCTAGATGTTCTAATTAGTTAGTAGAACGCACATACGCACGCAAGAACTCTCCCAGAAAAATATATGACCAGCCCTAAGTGTATTTGAGAAAGAAAATAACACAGTTACCCGCCCTGCAGACGCTGACCGTTAGAAACATTTGACCAGTTAGTGACATCGCGCTTCAGGTATCCCTTCTTGAATGGCCGACTTAGCAGCCACGGACAGTCGTGCAGGCTGTGTGTTGAGGCGCGATAATGTCTCCCGCCAGTCAACGATGCTATCTTCAGAGGGCCAGGGAATACAAAGTAAACGAGATCTCGGTGTATGTTTCAATTCTACGGGAAGAGGTTAACATATTTTGTCTGTTGAGAGGAACAGAATGTTGGTTGATACAAGTGTATCAGGGATGCTTGCCGAGTCAACCGTGCGCTACAGAAGAGTGATTGTCGGAGTCAGTTTTGAATTGAATTGCCTTTGTTTTATGCTGACTTCGCACAGACACGGATTTATGTAGTTACGTCCTCGTCACTTTGTTAGTTTTAACCTAAACATGAAAACAGATCTCATTCAACCTATTGAACAACCAACAAACAAACCAACCTATGCACAACCAATCAACAAATCGGTCAACAAAACAGTCAATCAATCAAGCAAGCGATTAACGCTGCACTCGGCAATATTCCAGCTAAATGACGGCGGTCTGTAAATAATCGAGTCTGGACCAGACAATCCAGTGACTGACATCATGTACATCCATCTATGCATGATCCAGCCGATCCCCTTAGTCGCCTCCAACGACAAGCGTAGTCGTCTTTTACGACAAGGATGTATGGTTGCTGGAGACCTATTCTACCTCGGATGTTCAGGGGTCCCGCTGATACCGTTTAGCATTGGAACACCTATTCACCCACAACAGATAATCATTAAACGGCCGCAGTCCGTAGGTTATTCTTTGAGTAATGTCATGTCGCAATGTTGTCTTAATGTCATGACAGTCTCTCACCAACCCGTCTTCACCGTCGCTCACTTCAAGGCAAACATTAGTTTGACAGCTCGGTTTCAGAACACACAATGTAAAATTCATGTAAGTAAACAGTGATAGTATGCGACGCCACTTGTTTTGTGCTACATATGCCCCGCAGTCAACTAACTGTGACCCGGGGATTGTACAGAGTCGAGTCAAGTGTTGAATAAATAAAGTCCGTACGCTTGAAAATTGAATTGGCGTTTCCTTGCTGTGTTAAGTGACTGGTTAGAAGCGGGCGAAGCGACAACGCTGCATTAAGCCTGCACCTAGTGAGATGTAATCTGCACTTATCAAGTACAAATCTCGGTCGCCTTGGCCTCATGAGCGTGTTATGGCTTACTAAATAAAAGCGACAAAACCTTTCCGAAATAAAAAAAGGTCCATTGTGCGGAGCCTATGAGTAAGGTGAATACACTGTTACAGTGCGATGGAAATCTTCAGTGATCATTTCAAAACAGGTTTTTAAAAAGAAAACATCCTAAAAAATCGAAGAATGGTATTTCTGAAATACGTTAAGTGTCCAGGCATGCGTTAACACAATTAACACAATGTCTTGACTTGTGTCCGTCTTTCGCAGACAGATTATGTATATTAATGCGACAAAATACCTTTCCATAACCATAATAAATATCCATTGTATGATTCCGACCATATCATAAGCATGTGTTTATGCATCACTATAAAACAGTGATGACACAAGGCATTGGTGGGTGTATCTTCCCGGGGGTACCGCGTGACATTGTATTGCAGCCGTACCTGGGCCCTGTGCTGCTTCCGGTCAGAATAGGTCCCTCGTTCATGCTTGTGGTAAGAGACGAGTAGAAGGGGATCGGATGGTCAGGCTCCGTCACTTGGCTGATTGCGCGTCATCGTCCCCGATGGCGTGGCTAGGTGCTCAGTTTTTCAGTTTGTCCGCTGTGATGTAGCCGTGATAATGCAGTGTTAAACAACATTCATATTCATTCGAACCTGGTTGAATGACAGGATCTTAGTAAAAGGTTGAATATTACGGTTACAGTGTTCAGCGTCACTTCACGATACATGTTTCAATTATTTAACGTATATAGTTCGTTTTTGATCGGTTTTCAGTAGTCTTCCCCAGGTACTGTAGGCAAGGGTGTCACACATTCGGATTCACTCGACTAGTTTCGTCACCGACATAATACCTCGGGAAGCAAAGGTAAAAACGTTTTTTTATGGTGAATACAAAGGTCAAACCGCATGGCCGTGTTAACGTTGTGTTGTGTGATAGTCAAGATAGTCTCAAGATGTAACAGTAAAACAGTAAATGTACATGACAAAATATATAAAATCATGTTTATACTAAGAAGTATTTTATATGTTATTGAATTTGTAAATATAAGATGAGGGGCTAGTAGCCCAAGTCTTCATAAATAAACTCTTTTCTGTTCTGTGCTCAACAATCTTGATTGAACAAAACAGACACTGGTCTTCTGAAACTCTGAAATATCTGACAGCACCTGCTGTGGTATGGTTGCATCTGTACCACACTTTACCATACTTTTTTTTACGTCTAAACGGTTCTATGTTGCACCTGGAAACCCTAGGGATCCTACGACATGGATCGACTTGGCCGTAGTTCGAGACACGCGGATGTCGATAATGATTCAGTATGGACCATTAAGTAACGTCGACTTGCCCAGCAAAAGAAAGTTTACACTTGAAAATTGGATTTGACCCAAAAATTACAAACGTTATTAAAGCGTTACGAGGCTTAAAACAGTCACACTAACACCGCAAAGTAAGGTCCAAAAAACAATACCCATATCAATACATCACCATCGTATAACAATAATTCCTCCGAAAGCCCTACTTCTATGCCATCATAGCCAATACTTTCTGCAATCACACATCACACCAAAAAAACAACTTACATTTTAACAGACGTCCTCTTCACTCTCAGTCACCGTAATCAGTTGTTAGATAAAACGCTTAGCGTGCCATATGCCTCAGCGCATGCGCAGAGCGGGGAACTCGTCACTTCTTTCTTGTGAGCGCTCAGCCAAACACCTGGATTTGTTTAAGTTATTTTAGCACACGTATTTGTGTAGACTTAGCCTAGACTATTAAAGACAACTATATTTACGTTGTACCATTTCTGCCGTTAACAGTTGCGGAGGTAGTATTTTAAAACGTACTTTGGGACAATGGACTCACCAACCACTGTCTACCAGGGATGTGGCCACGCCATGGTTGTCGGAGAACCTCGTTATCAATCAGTGTTTCCTCTGTCGAGCAGAGCTCAACTGGTGCTCAACTGGTGCTCAACTGGCGCGAATGTCCCCGATCCAGGGATCATCGACGGTCCCATGTGTCTTCATCAAAATCTCCGAAGTCGCGGTCGTCAGGGAAGTCATCTACCTTGACCGTCATGCGGTTGCTCAATTACCAGCTAATGATGATCATTTGTACAGTCTCGTCACGTCACCATCTCCACCAACATGATCGTCTCTATGGCGAAGTTCAAGTAGACGAAGAGAATAAATCGCTTGACGATGGACATCGGAGCTAACATAAATTTGTTATAAAATTGCTTACATGCTCTGAGATATCCGAGCTTGTCAAGAAGTCGGTAGCCCACACTGCCCATCACTGCCCCGGTGCTGTTCCATCAGAGTGAGTGAGTATGTTTTGACACCGCTTTTAGCAATATTCCAGCAATATCGCGGGTGGGAAATCAGAAATGGGCTTCACACATTGTTCCCATGTCGGGAATCGGGTCTTCGGCGTGATGAGCGAACGCTTGAACCACAAGGCTACCCGACCGCCTCTGTTCAATCTGAAGTTACACGGATTAGGATCCAGATGTCTACCATCCACCTCGCGGGAACAGTCAAGGGGTTCATCCTCACATCAGCTCCTTCTCGAGATCCACCCTAGACATGTCGCTTCAGGCAGAGATTCCTTTCACGTGCCCCTCCTACTTCGTCACGCCCTCTCCCCTCTGTCTTTTATGACCCCTAGTAACCGGTGAGGGGATGGGTTTTTGTGTGGGGGGTTGATGTGTGTGTGTATGGGGGGGCGGGCGGGGGGGGGGGGGGGGGGGAGGAGGAGGAGAGGTCTGCTCCCAGGAACAGGGACTTGTTGCCATTCCTGACTTTCCTGGGCCACCACCTCTACACCTCTAGTTGTTCATCCATGGATTCTTATCCTTACTTAGTACTCCAACTTCTAAATGCCTATCAAAGAAGGAACCTCTACATCAACTCACCCCTATCAACCTGGTTTTGCCTCTGGATCTCAACTACCGGCTTCCGGACTTCATCGGCTGACAACTGGCCCGCATTTCAATTTCTTGAAGTTTTCTAGGGTTCCGCGCAAGTGACGACAACATAAGATATCGCCTGCTCCGAGTGTGATGTCAGTTCAACCGGAAATGACTTCGTAGAAGGGAGTAACATCAGGTTACAGGAAGTGACGCCATTGAAACCGAATGGGATCGACCATAGAAACGGACGTGACGTCAGAAACCGAAAGTAACGTCACAAGACCAGAGATGTCATTGAAATACCAATATAACGGTATTTACAGTGCACGTATAATTTTTGTGTTAGGTATTTATTGTGGATTTTCTAAAACGGTTCTATGTGTCCATATATGTCATTAACGGAGAGATATCTGGGAATACTATATGCTAGATCCCAGCAAACGAGGTTGCCCGAACCTACCCGGGTACCTGCTGTAGGTCTCAAGAGGTAGGCACAAACTGTCCGATTTGGAAATGTTTGACCGAGCTCTGGTAAAATGTGTTTAGATACATGTATGAAACGATCTGGTGTATACAGTGAAGTTGACTGAAGTTTTATTTTGATTCAAACATATAAAAGTCAGAAGGAATGGGCGTAGTAGTCAGGAAGAACTACGAACATTAGTGACTTGTAGTTTAAATTAAACATAGAGATTGAGATACCTTTTGCCATTAAACAATATATCACGTGAATAACCACGGGTCCGGGTAGTCCTGTGGGTACTCGGGTCCTACTCAGTACCCAAGCGACCCGAGTACCCGATTTACCCGTCCCAGCCCTAAATTCTAAGCAAAGTACCCCTGTAACACCAGGAAGTAGTCCCTCCCACCAACATACTGGATGTAGAAGAGAAGTGCTCATGCGCTGAAGTATTTGAAACGATATGCGGTATTCCTAACAACTGATTAGGATGTCTGACAGTGAAGAGGACGTCTGTTGAAAATCTAAAGATATGTTTAGCGTGATGTTAACCAACTTACAAGAATGTTGTCTATGTTGTAATGGAGATAGTTTTCTTAGAATTATACACAATTGTAACTATTGTTCGATTTCTTGACTGTTTCCTTTTTAGCCACCATCAAACTTGTGTGTGTCCTTTCTCTTGCCCGGCGGCGCATTACGAGTTTCGCTGTATTTTAAAGATCCGCTGTATTTACTTCAGTCTGTGCTTAAAATCGGTCTTTGATTGATTGGTTTATTGATTGTAGCGCAGGTGTTACAACAACACCATACGTCCGTCTTCGTGAACATACTGCATCACCCTACAAGGCGGAAACCTCAATTTGTTCGGATATTCACACAAGTTCTGCTCTGTAAAACATGTTTTTCTAAACACAATGGGACTGTAAAACATTCATGTTGAAGCCCTTACAAAGAGAAGTAATTGGCTTGTAAGCAGAAATGAATGAACAGGAAGAGTTCCTGATGCTTTTTGTTATGTGCCCGTCAGAACCTTGGGAGTGCATGGTGTTGTATGTTGCAGCTTTCAATTTCAAATACAAAGATACCTAGTTTATAGACAGGTGAGACAAAGGGAGACTTGCAGATATCCAGCGTTGAGACGGGTAGGCCAAACGGAGTTATGGAGATAAGTAACACACCCACATCGACCCTAATGAGATAGGCGAATTCATATTTTGTCATATCCCCACCCGTGTGAAACGGCATCAGATTCTTAAAGTTTCATCAAAGCACAGTCCAACTACATGCTGATTCCACGATAGTAAAATACTAGTAGTTCAATTGAAACGTATGTATATCGGAGAATATTAGACCAAATAGTCCGTCATTCAGCGCTGAGAATCATTTTGTTTCATTTAATATAAACAGTAAGTACTTCACAGTAGACGACACTGGATATCTGATAAATAATCAAACACATGCAGTTTACCTCAAACCATTCACTGGTTCATCGACTCACATCATTACAAATTGGAAATGCGGAAACCTTGCGATTTCTACAATGTCAACTCCAACAAATTACATCACTGATTTAGTGTAGAGTCAGGTGGACCACCACTGCTTGTACTGTGACTTCTATTCACTGCAAAACAGGGGGCGCGGATCCAGGATTTTAAATGGAGTGTGTGTGTGTGTGTGTGTGTGTGTGTGTGTGTGGGGGGGGGGGGGGGGGGGGGGGGGGGGGGGGGTTCCACTGGGGGCATCTGTAACTGCAGTGTGTGTGTGTGTGTGTGTGTGTGTGTGTGTGCCCTACCAAAAAAACATAAACACAGTACGTATATTATTATTAAATTGGCTTAAATTGATAATTTTAACTTTGTGAGTAAACTTAAATAAGGTCTAAATACGATTACTTTCGGAAGTAATAAGCCTTTTAACGTAGTCTCGCGAGAGAAAACGAGATCTCGTTCTGAGAAGAGATAACAAGTTTTATATAGATTCAAAAAGTTTACTCCACAGGCATCTGAGATTCAACATACTCCAGGTATGTTGAATCATCTACGAATCTATTTCTGTCTGTGATGGTCAAAGTAAAGGACGGAGTGCTGACTGCTGTTTGAGTTCATAACTCCAGCACCAAGGTGAAGTCTAATGTTCATACACCACCCCCTCGAACAGTGGTTAACACAGAAGGCGGTTCTGTTGTAAAGTAATAACAGTCTCTTGTTTGTTTTTTCTTCAAGTTGTGTGCACTTCGCTGTTGTCAAGATCTGCGTGAATTCTCATGAATCTGTCGCTCGTCTGTTCCTCAGGCTGTTTGGTTCTTGAGGCTGTCTCAGCTGGAAAGACAAATATATCTAGTCAATTAAATGAATCGATTGTAAATGTCTAAGATGTATGTATGACCTGTGGTCTTCACGTAATGTTGACAAAATAAATGAGACAAAAGTTATCTTAATCGTAAACGGTTCTTTTGGGGGGTGTGGGTGGAATTTCGACCTTATTTCAG